CTCTGGTCACATGTCACACAATAACATGATTAGGCTCTGGTCACATGTCACACAATAACATGGTTGGGCACTGGTCACACAATAACATGATTGGGCTCTGGTCACATGTCACACAGTAACATGAATGGGGTCTAGTCACATGTAAAACCATGACAAGGGACTGGATGATATCAGCTATAACAATGACCATCACCCTTTACACAGTGTTGTTTCAAGGATCTGCCCAGAGTGGGCCAAGCAGCCCCCTCACCTCACGAAAAATGGCCCACGATAGTACATGTCAACACCATTGGTAACACAGTTAAACAGCAGGAGGGGCGGTGGGGTAGCCCGGTGGTTAAAGTGTTCGCTTGTCAAGCCGAAGGCCTTGGTTTGTTACCCTACATGGGTACAATGTGTGCAGCCCATTTCTGGTGTCTCCTGCCGTGATATTGCTGGAACATTGCTAAAAGCGGCATAAAACACAACTTTTGGGAACTTTAACTATATGTTGGAGACCTGGGGCCAAATATTGACCAATAAAAAGGTGAAGATAATTCTCGAAAGTGTTATCTCATGTCAACATGTGTGAATATGCCACACCCATTTTCCAAAGACAAGGGAGTTAACAAATATAGTTTGGAACCTTTTGAAGTCTGTTATCTTCCCTGCCTGGGGAGAATGGCCCCTCCCATCTGCTTTCTAGTCTTGCAGTCAGGAAATAGTGAAGACACAGCTGACACAGATAAGAACGTCTGGGTTAACATTACTGTGAACAATATTTAACGTCGTCACTGCATACGCCCATAGATAATCATCTTGATAAACAATAAACCAGCACAATATATTACAGAAATAAGATAGGAATCGGAGATTCTTCTGTAAACCTGTTACCTGAGCCCACAATCGCATCACCAGAAAATCGCATCTCAATCATAAATAATTCAAATATTAACTAACGATAACCATCACAAAGAAGTAAGATTGAATATCGCTGACACTCCCGCTTAGTGATCACAGGACAACATCACTGCCACAGGCTAATTTGCATACCAAGGGACGCTTCTCTTGTTTGTAAATAAACTTGTTCTGAAATCAGAAGAGACTTGCTTAATGCAATTCTTCTAGTGCCCCAATCGTATTGATTAATCACAGATATGATGACAGTAAAGTGAATAACAATTCATATTTATACGGCGACTCTATTGCCAGCTCTCCAGGGGGCTTTGATGACAGCATGTGAAGCTGTACAGTCAATGTAAACAAAGAATAACAACTACGAAATTTTTAAAATGTTTTCTCGATGAAAGCTAACTATTCTAACCCATCTGTAGGTAAGTCAAAACTATTACCGATGAAAATCACATACAGTGTCCTGAATGGATTGTGAATGATGTGATGAATTATCAATAGCAGTATTATGCCGACCAGATGGAACTTTGGGTAGGACTTGGAAATGACTTTTGGGGTCCACATGATCTTGATTTGGTTTGGTTTGGTTGGGTTGTAGTTTCACGCCACACGCATCAATATTCCAGCTATTTGGTGGCAGTTTGTAAATAATTGAGTCTGGTGATAAAAAGCATGAACATTGATCTACGTAATCCGGATACAATAACATGTGTCAACCAGGTCAGCCAATCTGAATCCCTGAACACAAAAAACAAACATGGCATTACGACAATGCACAATTGACCGAGTCACTGAATAATTACATCTCTAAGAACAATGGTTGCTGGTCACCAGGTCCAGCCCTGCATCCTAACCGGAAACACTAACTACGTAACAGGAATCAGTGCTAAATATACAACCAAATAACAACAGAGCTCTAAAGTTTGTCACAGTAACAACCATACCAATCAGTGTGCGAAATAGTTTCCAAATTATGCAAGCCAGTCGGGCTAGCTATGCCTGAAAGTTACTAGCCCACAAAATAATTCACTATTCCGAAATTTGAATGTAAAAACTAAGATGAATATCACACAAAGGAAAGATGTTAATATGATGAACAATTTTATCAGGTCATAATCTTGCATGATTTAAAAGTGTATCATAACTTAAAAAGTCGGAGAGAGTGATATATTTACAAAATGACCCCATGAACCTTCACCAGCCAGTTGGGCCAGTGACTGTGGAGATTTGTGGCCCGAAATAAAAAAAAATACAATCTTTAAATTCTCAATAATTTCTGGTTGTACTGTATATCAATGTATCCAGGTAATGTACTCAAACATAACATATATTTTACATGCATGGAGTCCACATGCTTGGATTTCTCAAACAAAAGGTAAACATTGAAGTGGAAACATGAAGGAGATGACTGACCAAGTAATATTCTGGAAATACTAGCATTTACAAGAAAGAACCAGCCATTAAATGTTGTTTTTCATTGTTGTTTCTATACTAGTCAAAACATGTTCAGGAACACCCCCGACTGGCAGGTGCTTGTTGCCACTCCCTCCCCATGCCATGACTTATTAACATTAGTCAAATAATACAATCCAGTACTCATTTACTTCTTTTGAATGCAGAGATGCCAACCCTATTTTGGGCCTAAGTGTAATACTGGAGGTCAAAAAGTGTAATTTGGACCTAAAAAGTGTAATACTTAAAACACTTACATCGTGAAAGGTGATAACTTTATAAAAATTACTTTTAAAAAAGGTTTATTCACATGAATAGGAAAGATTCTAGACAGAAATACACGTGACCAATCATTATGCAGTTCCATACATCAAAAATTGTTGGTCAGGTGACACAAAATACTTTAATTCCTTACAAGTTAATTTAAATGAGCACAATGCTAAGAGTAAGCGATTCCTATTGGTGTAAGGCCATTTCTGAACCCCTGCACTAGTGCGTTACAAAATATTCCCTGTGAAATTTTATCCACTTTATTGATTTTCGCAAAACGGGTAGAAAAGCGTAATTTTCACAGATTAAGTGTAATGGCGTAATTTTATGGTCAAAATCATAATAATTACGCCCAAAGCGTAAGGGTTGGCATCTCTGTGAATGGCATGTATCTTGCAACAGAGACAGATAAGACAGTTCTGTTTCTCACAAAACATTAAATATCCCCCAACCCTACAGAATATCAAACCGGTTGTCTCTTTCGGGAAATGGTGACTGGTAACAAAGACATGCAAGGCATGGCACACTGAAGACAAGGACTTCCAGTTTATCTTGGTTAATATCACAAACCACCATCAAACACAACAATAAATAAACATCAGATGTAACACCTGACAGAACAAACATTGTCATCTCATGTTGACAAATCTTAATGTTTTATGTATGAGCAACTTCAACACAATTCCAATAATTTGGTTTACTCCCATAAGAACTACATCCCGTCTGAACTACTTCCCAAATTAACTACAGGGATTAATTATCTGAGTAGAGGCACCCCCATGGCATGTAATGAGCACAGCCCATCAGCTCTCCCAGAACTACATGCTTAAAATCCTATTGACCAGTAATTATGTTGTTGTAAAGGTAATCTAATAGCCAGAAAGTAGAGGACAAGAGCGATGGGTATGTTGTAGTTAGTGAATGTTCTTGTATTCATATGATAGAAAAAACAAGCTTAGTATATTGGAGTAAAGGTATATTGCAGTAAAGGTATAATTGGAGTAAAGGTGAAATATATACGAGTGAGTTATTAAGTTAAAATAGTATTGTTATAGACTGCAATCCAGTACCTCGATGCAGTTGGCTACTTATTGAAGCTGGGCTAAACTAGTTCTACATGGATCAGATTGAACACTGAGGATGAAAGTGACACTAAATTACCACACTAAATATATAAGCCTATCTATAGATGAACTATCTATACATCTATATATAAAACCCCAGACATTATCTGCACAAGATCTTGCGCCTGCCAACGGCTCCTCATGTGTACAATGAAAACTAAGCGTCGTCATGGGCGACGCAAAATGGTAGTAGCTGTTGTCATCATGCGTATGACGTTACAGTTAGTGACAATAGGTAATATGTAATAGATACATATGACATATCTTCTCAGGTAGTTGGAAATGCTGTTCATAAAGAAGTCCCAAGAGAGACACATAAACAAAAGAAACAAATACAGCGACGGACATTCTTCCATTTGTTTGTACCTACAATCCTAACAACTGTACAATTATGCCCATTATAAAAGCGAATCTTTAAATTTTGTATAAAAGTGATACTATGAAAAAAGGTTTATCAGCCAGTGTAACAAAATGTCAAACACCTCGATGCGGAACTTGTTCAATCATAACTGAAGATTGCAAATTTTCATTTTGTGGCAAACTATTTACTATCAAAACCAACAGGAACTGCGGCAGCAAAAATTTTATATATGTTTCATTTGTTTTGTGTTGGGCAAATGCATTAAGCAGATGCAGGTGACAGCATGTAGTTGATCTGTGCACTGGACCATAACAGGTGTATTTTTAAGCTGTAGTTCTTATGGGAGGACACCAATAATTTCACATCTCTGATTTGCAAATACAATGTCTAGATATGTTCTTCCATTCAGGGAGAATTAAAACCATCACACTGCCATCTGACCTACATGTGACAATGTCAAGTGGAGAAAGTATATTTTACAAAACAATGTAAGAAATCAAGCATGAAAATCTGATTCCTTGTCATGCTATAAATGCTGTCCCTCTTGATCTCAGAGGCAGCTGTGTTTGTACACTCCCCAGGGAGTTGAGAATACAACTTGAGTACACAATGATCCATTCACCAGGTCATAACAAAACAGCAAACAAGCACCTGTTAGCAGCCGATCTGTAACTCAGCAAATATAAATAGATTCTTATTTTTATCATCATTATCATTATTATTATAGGGAGACAACTCCATGTTATTCTACCAAGCTGAGACATAAGCATGAGCTGTCTCCAAGTAATTAGCATAGTCAGTACTTTTGAGAATGATACCATGAGATAATTTGTGTACACAAAGTTGGTCATAACTGATTTGATAGAGAAGTTTCAAATAACAATAAATAACAAAACATGAAGGACCCAGGATCCAAATTTATAACACTGGTGTTATGCAACATTGTGCAACAGGGAGAAAGGGATTGACAAAAACACTGACTATTATGTCCATATTCCCCGTATTGCCAGGATATACGTTATATAACACACACTCAGGTCCTACAAGAACCAGGTACTGAGAAACAAGAGCCCAACTATGCAGCTCTCAACAAAAGTACCCATCAACCAAGTATTAATGAACACAGTAAGTTTGCACAGCAAAATAATATCAACAGTCTGTAATGAATTGCAACATGTTGTGTCCAAAATGCTAACAACTTGATAATGGTTGCAAATGTTTACACGTATGTCCTGTTGGGAATGAAAATAATGGTTATCTGAATTGAATCAATTAAATTATAAGGTGAATGTTATTAAGATTGACATTTCCACTCGAGTGAAAATTCACTGAAACTTTTTTTACTTCATTTCATTGAAATTTCTATCTGTAATAGGTTTAACACCTTGGTCAGTTGACTTACTGTCATTTGAGTTCATGTAATGGGCTTACTTACCCAACATAATGACAACATATCAAACAACGTAATGATACATCTGATCCTAGTCTGCATACATACCTGTAATAATGAACAGACCTTCATTCAATTGAACTTTTTCAGCCTGCATACCTGTATTACCTTTGAGATCAGTATTTTCATATACTAAAGAGATGCTTGGCATCTTGAATTATATTAAATGCACTTAAATTCAAGCTGACATAAATATCTGGCAGCTTTTTTCAATAATAGGTTGCACTTTTGCATGCTTGAAATCAAACCCGATCATCCAAAAGCACAAAACCAAACAATTTTTGTCAGTTCAAATTCATAGAGATTCTGCTGTATAAGATCACACACATTCTTGGGCACAATGTTGACAAGTGGAAGACTGAGCACAACATGCATTGCTAAATCAGTTACACCTGTACGGTTGTGGCTAATCTGTTACCAGGTACAACTGTACAGTTGTGGACAAATCAGTTACACCTGTACAGTTGTGGACAAATCAGTTACACCTGTACAGTTGTATTTAACTCAGTTACACCTGTACAGTCGTATTTAATCAGTTACAACTGTACAGTCGTGACTAATCAGTTACACTTGTACAGTTTTTGGCTCATCAGTTACCTGGTACACCTGTACAGTTGTTGACAAATCAGTTACACCTGTACAATCATATTTAATCAGTTACACCTGTACAGTCATATTTAACCAGTTACAACTGTACAGTCGTGACTAATCAGTTACACCTGTACAGTTTTCGGCTCATCAGTTACCTGGTACACCTGTACAGTTGACAAATCAGTTACACCTGTACAGTTGTGGACAAATCATTTACACCTGTGCAGTTTTCGGCTAATCAGCTACCGGATACCTGTACAGTTGTGGCTAATCTGTTGCTGGGTACACCTGAACAGTTGGGGACAAATGAGTTACACCTGTACAGTCGCTGATAAATCAGTTACACCTGTACAGTCGCGGATAAATCAGTTACACCTGTACAGTCGTGGCTAATCAGTTACAATTGTACAGTTTTTCAGACAAAATCTGAAATCAAACATTTTGGAAAGAAATGTTACCAGTTATGACAAAATGAGATAAAATTGTTATTAGGCACAAAAAGCCAAATGTTCCGAATATCGCTTGCTACTAATATCAGCCTTATTGATGCCCACTGAAGGTTGACTTGGCATACAGGGGATAGCACTCACATGAAATACTGACTTTACCTTTTGAAATCCATAAGTCTTTAGCATTTCTTCACTAACAACATAGTAAAACATAATATCCAGGTTGCCAAAATGCAATGCTCTGGGTAACTCTTTCACTCGGATGAAATGTACCTCCACATGAAAATTTGAAAAACTGTCCCACCAGAGCATATCATTCTAATCAGCCAAAGTTTTTTGAATCTTGTAACAAGCAAACAAAGCTGTCAGACCACCATGTCTGATTTTCATATCTCAAAAACAAATATAAAAGGACAGTTCCAAATGAAAAAAAAAGGCACTACCACTAACATTGTGGTGGATACTGAGTACATCACTTATTATTTCCGAGTAGTACCAACCATCTCTAACAAAAGGATTATGCAGTTAAAATCATATCAGGGGTTTGTTTCTTAAAGCCAAGTTTCCAAATCATAATGACCAAGAAACAAACTGTAATAGACAGGAAATGGCCTACAGTGGATGGTTTGATAATGTTCATGCAGTGATACATAGAGGCTGTTCTGATTTAATGAGACTACTGTGTGAGATGTCTACAGGAAGCCATCATCAAGACGACGCGAAGAAGTTGTTGTCTTTATAGTGCTGCGTCTCGGGCTCTTGTAGCTTTCTGTCCGTTTCTGATATATCGTTTTTTATTGCCGTTATCAATTCATCTGAAACAGCAAGAAAATCATGTAATTGTGTGATTGGCATTTTAGAAGTCAACAAGTGTTTGCCACTAATATGGCATGTCCCCCGACGCTAAAGAAGAATAAATATTTATAACATTTACTACTTTATTTTAGTAATTTTTTTGCTCGCATGCAAGATGCCTGAAATGACTGGTGTCTGCATAATCACCCAATGTAGGCTGTTGACATAATTGAAGACATTGGGTGCAATGTTTTATGAGATATCGCATTTACGTTAAGTTTGAAAAGTGGTCAAAGTGTCGTGGTGGCCTTGAAGATAAGGTCAAGGTCACCCAAATTGACTGGTGTCTGCGTAATCCCCTAATGTAGGCCATCCCCAAATTTGAAGACATTGGGTACAACAGTTCATGAGATATCGTGCTACAAGGAATCGGGACGTTTGTATGGAAGCCGCTGAATACTTAGTCCCCCGTTCCGCCGGAGGACAATAATAAACCATCAGTTATATTTAACTGCAAAGAGCGGAGTTTCGATGTAGATTCTACTTGTTATCCATAAGAGAGAGGGAGAGGGAGAGGGAGATTTTTGTTTTATGCCACTTTTAGCAATATTGCAGCAATATCATGGCGGGGAACACCAGAAATGGGCTTCACACATTGTACCCATGTGGGGAATCAGACCCAGGGCTTTGGTGTTGTTTACCACCAGACTATCCCACTATCCCAGTTATCCATACATTTTACGCTTCAAGAAAAAGATGCATTAGGATTACAGTGTTCACGAATGGTGTTTCAAAGTCACAGGACATTGGGTCCTGTAAGTTTCAGATGTCTGTCTGACCCATTGAAAATGCTCAGGACCCATGGAATAAAATTAAACACACATTTCAGATTATATATTTCTTATAATTGACATTGAAATTATTAAGAAACATAAGATTTATAAACAGCAAACAAGTGTCACATGTCACATATAACAACTTAAGTCAAAGTCATTGTGAAATATACAGTCAGACACTGGGGCCGGCGGGTTGTAAACTTCTGTCTGACCGTTGGTGAATCTGTCGGATTTGTCAGAGGGTCAGACGCTATTCGTGAACACTGGGATTATGTCACGAGTATTTATATCTGTGTCTGAACACTCAAACTGAGTTGCTTTTCTCTGACAACTATATCTCATGGTGCAGCCAGGCCACTCTGAGCTGACCAGCGCCTGCACTCAGGACCAAAACACAATGTGTTTGGTTTCAAGACTGCATAAGTCATTACAAAATTCCTAAATTGGAAGTTTCAAATTCATGTAGTAACAACCACTGACTGACTATGGTTTTACACAGCTTAAGGAAAACTTCCAGCATATCAAGGCGGGAGACATCAGAGATGGCTTTCACACATTGCTTCCATGTGGGGAATCAAACTCGGGTCCTCTGCATGACGAGCGACTGCTTTAACCACTAGACTACCCCACCACCCTAGTAACTAAGCCATATGTGGCTTTGGAAAAGTCCCCAGTTTGAATAAAATATTGAATTTTTCCAGATGCCAGATGAGATGACTCTCTGATGATAGTGACTGACTGACTGACTGAGTTTGGTTTTAGGCCGCTTTTAGCAATATTCCAGCAACATCACGGGGGGGGACACCAGAAATGGGCTTCAAACATTGTACCCATGTGGGGATTGATGGTAGTGACAACAACTGGTACCACACAAAGACACAGGATACATTGAACAGATGTAGTATATTATTGTACACAGCTGAACACTGATTCTCTGGTCACAGGACTAATTGGGGATAATCACAAGCTGTTTCCAGAATTAGTTCTGTGTGCCTGATTGCTAGACAACAAACTGTATGGGGAATGGCTTTATCCATTAGAAATATTGGCAACTGATAATTGTCACAACCAAATCACTTACAGTCCGTTTGGCTCAAAAGCGGACCGATGAATTGCAGTCTAACTTGAAAACTAATAAACATAACATACTCAATGAAACCCTGATCATAATCAAAACATCATACCCACTCTGTGAGTTTTTTGCAGAATTTTTGTCCTAAAAATAATAAAGTTGTTTAACAATCTATCATTAAAATATTGACACAGTTCACTATTTGTTACGAGGGAGGAGTGCAGAGAAAGGACAGCCAGGTGTCCATGCAGAAGGAGGTTCACAGACAAACTTATTTATTCATTAACCTGTGCTGTGCCGTCTCCATCCGTTCTCGAACACCTGGCTGTCCCTTTCTCTGCACTCCTCCCTCGTAACAAATAGTCAACTGTGTCAATATTTTAACGATAGATTGTTAAACAACTTTTTTATTTTTACGACAAAATTCTGCAAAAACCTCACAGAGTGGGTATGATGTTTTGATTATGATCAGCGTTTCATTGTGTATTTTATGTTTATTAGTTTTCGAGTTAGATTGCAATTCATCGGTCCGCTTTTGAGCCAAACGGACTATAACTGATTCTCCGATAAACTGCACAAGCCACAACAATATTCATCTGTACATACAGTCTGAGACTTTTGCCAAAACATGGGTGAAGTCAAATCTATGTATTTTCATTGTTTCTGAGACAAACATATTTATAATTGACGATGGCATGGTTAGGACACAAACTCAGAATTTGCACATTAATAACTTTGGCGTAACCCAAAATCACAATATGCTGACAACCGAGGTATCAAAATCTGAGGGACGGTGGGGTAGCCTAGTGGTTAAAGCGTTGGCTCGTCACACCGAAGACCCGAGTTCGAATCCCCACATGGGTACAATGTGTGAAGCCCATTTCTGGTGTCCCCATGGGCTGACACGTGATGTTGCTGGAATATTGCTTTAAAGCGTCGATTTTGCAGAATAAAAACCAAACTCAGTCAGTCAGTCAAAGCTGAGCAGTGGAATACTTATATGGATAGACAACTTCTTTGTTGCAGTAGTAGTTCGCGGCGTTTGACCGTTCGTGTAGATCCTAACACCGTTATCAAGCAAATGATACACAACATTTGCACAAGGAGAAATATATATTGTGCAAATGTTGTGTATCATGTATCATTTGCTTGTAACTACACCGAAACGTCACAACTACTACTGCAACAAAGAAGTTGTCTATCCATAAAAGTGTTCCACTTCATCATACCAGCTTCTAAATGTCACTTAAGGAAGTAAAATCTGATCAGATCCTGACACAGCTAAGGGAGGGAACTGTTCATAACTTGGAGAAATGTTCCCTTCAAGTTCACTGCTAATGCACCTGCTGCTACTAACACAATGACAGTAGCAAGAATTGGGGTCATATTTAGACTCCATTGAAAGAGGAACAAATGTTTTATCAAGAAAGGAGATTATTCTCACCTAGAGAAACAAATGTTGACATGGGGCGGATGTAGCCAACCATTACAATCTTCAGCCTTGATCCATAAAAATCATCCTGGAACTTGTGCATTATGTGAGTTTCCTGAAAATACAGCAAGCGTCCAGCAACACATTTCAAAACAGACAAAAACAGTCAGCGCCAAATCTATTTTCAAATTCAGTATTGATGAACACAGGGTCTTACCTTGATCTACAAAACTAAGGTGCAAGAGGACGACCAATAACTCCTTTAATAGATCATCACAGGAAACACGTGGTTCTCATAAAGTAACGAAATACTGTAATGATCTGTTTTGCAAGATTAATAAATACTTTAATCAAGGAAACTTCATATGTCTGGTCAAGATTTTGGTAACATGCACATAATATACTAAGCAGCAAAAGAAACATCAGTTTGGAATTTTCCTTCGCAGAAACGGATAACTGTATAAACTCATTTAATGTTTTGATTACATATATTTGACAACATCTCCAACTTTACCTGGGCAAAGACATTCCTTCCCAAACTCAGAATGGAAACCAGGAAATGGTCTCAAAAAGGCAACCTGATCTCGGAGATGGTACGGTGTTCTATGCTTTTTATGCAACTCATGCTGCACGTGCTGTTCACAAAGACCAGCCCAAGAAATGCACCCCCAAACCGGTTGAAACATTCACACTACATCATCAGCAGGATGCCACGACTCACGACAGCTCACAGGATACAGGCGCTAGAAAGACTTGAAGCTGGCCACACTGCACAAGCTGTTGCCAATCACTTCCAGAACAATTTTTGGACCATCTACAGGCTGCAGCAACGTTTCCGGGCCATCAACACCACAAATGATCGCCCACGTACTGGCAGACCAAGGGTGACGACAAGACCACCATGTTGTGCAACAGCATGTACAGTAACTCTTCATGCAGGCATCCGAAACAGCACACCAGACAGTGAGAACACATTGAAGACCAATCAGTACTGATACAGTACGCCGACGTCTTAACAGCGGGAACCTCCATTGCCGTAGATCTTATCGTGGACCTATCCTGACCCCTCGTCATCGGCGTGAACGTCTACAGTTTGCCCTATAACACCAAAACTGGCGATACAGGCAATGGAGAACTGTTCTGTTCACAGATGAGAGTCGGTCCTGCGTATCAACTGCAGATGGCAGAACAAGAATATGGCGACAACGAGGCCAGCGTTACTCAGACCAATGCGTTGTGGAAAGAGACCCATGGGGAGGTGCAAGCATCATGGTATAGGGTGGAATAGGTTTGAACCAGAGAGTGGGTCGTGTGGTGTTCCAGAACCTTGGTCCAGGGAGAGGAGGTGGCATCACAGCGGTGCGCTACATCGACCAAGCTCTCAGTCTCAGACCTCACGTCATACCACATTTCGCACGTCACCGGAACAACATTTTCCAGCATGATAACGCCTGGCCCATACTGCCAGAGCTACACGGGACTTCCTTCACCGGAACAACATTTTCCAGCATGATAATGCCCAGGCCCATACTGCCAGAGCTACACGGGACTTCCTACAGCAGAACGGTGTCAACATTAAGCAGTGGCCAGCTCTTAGTCCTGATTTAAACCCAATTGAACATCTTTGGGATGAAATTCAGAGGAGACTGAATAATGTCATACCAAGGCCAAACACAGCGGATTTATTGCGCCAGGCCTTTTTCAGAGCGTGGTTCCAGGTGCCAATGGCCTTCATCAATTGATTGGTGCACTCCATGCATAGACGCTGTGCTGCAGTTATTGTCGCATGCGGTGGTCACAGTAGATACTGAAGTCAAGAGTCTGAATGGCCTGCAAACGTTCACGTAATGTCTTGAAATTGTGCTTAGTTATTCTTTGATGTGTCAAGATATTGTACACAAAAAATGTTTTTGATCTGCTTATTATGTCAATTTCTGTAATGATTTGATTACAGTGCCTATCTAAGTTTGAATTCGTACTGACAGGGTTTTTTGCTGCTGAGTATATTGTATTTATATTTTTAGTATCAAATATATATTTTTTAGTCCGTTCTATAGATTTTGTGAGAACTGGACACAGATTTCTACGTCATGTAAGTCTGTTAACTCCCTTCCCTTTGGAAGATGACAACAGTATGAATCATCATGGCAATTTTCAACATTAATATCTGCAAACACCACTGTTTTTGTAAATTATGTACATACCTTTAGTGACTGTATTGATAATGAGGAGAGCTGACTTGCAGTTTTCAGCTTCTGTACCATTACAATGAGATATTTCAGAACAGGTGCTTGACATCTATCTCTATCCCTCCTACTCATACCCAACTTGACAATTCACCCTATGACACATTAAATATCCGGTGGGACCTAAAGAATCCATAACACCTGACCAGCTTTATTTCTTGTTTTACAGATCCGCTGGTCATATTTTTTCAAGAATAAAAATTAAAATTAATTTTACCCGCTCAAAAAATAAAATCCTAATGTTTTTAGTGGCCAAATAAATCAAGAAATATTTTCCAGATTGTTTCTTGCCCCATATACACTTAAAAAACTGCCAATAGTAAAATACTTTCAGTACTTATAAGGAATATTACTTTGACTGGTGATTTTTATTTTTGTTTTTTTTCCCTCCTGCCTTTGGGTTTTCTGAGGACAAAAATCTTTAAAACAAAAAACAAAATTGGTCTGGCATTACAGACAGTCCCAAAGTGCTTGCAAATAAACAGAGCCAGGTAAGTTTGTGAACAAGCCCCCTCCCACTTACCATTGTCTTCTTGGTGTTCTTGTAGTATGGGTTCCAGCCCACACTCATACACATCTTGTGTACTTCTCCACCGTCAACGTTGGCCCAGCCGTAGTAGACGCCAGTGGGCATATCTGCCGGAAGCTTCTCCACAACATTCTCGGGGAAGTTGGCTGAAGAAAATACATATTATCATCACTATCAGATTAAGACAGATGAATGCAGCAAAGAGGGTTGGGTAATCCTGGCACAGTCAGGTTCTCTGGGTTCATCATCAGGCCAAGGCCATAATCCCCTTTACGTGCAGCCCAGACAGCAAATGGGACTTCTCCCAGGAAGCACTGCCTTGCTGGACACCTTTACAAAGAATGCGTAGACTCCTCTACACTGCAGCCTTCTGCAGTACCCTGAGTATCAGGACTGAGTTCCTGCTAGCCAACCCGGTGTAGCAGGCCATTTCCTCCCCGGTTTAAACTTTCCCCGGGGAGAATCTGGCCTAGGCCAACTTTCCCCGGGGAGGTTTTGTCCTAGGATATTCTTACCCGGGGGAAAGTTTGGGCTAGGCTAATGTGTCCACCCACCCCCACCCCACACACACACTTTTCCCCGGGCCAAACTTTTCCCCTGTTTAACTAGTATATTTTGTTCTGTTTTCTATGAAATGGGGAGATTCTGGCCTATTTAGGCCACTTCTTCCCAATCCTTGTTCTCATATCTAAAGGGGGAGATTCTGGCCTACCTAGGCTACTTCTTCCCCACCCTTGTTTTTATATCAAAAGGGGGAGATTCTGGCCTAGCTAGGCTACTTCTTCCCCACCCTTGTTTTTATATCTAAAGGGGAGATTCTTATATCAAAAGGGGAGATTCTGGCCTAGCTAGGCTACTTCTTCCCCACCCTTGTTTTATATCAAAGGGAGATTCTGGCCTACCTAGGCTACTTCTTCCCCACCCTTGTTTTATATCAAAGGGAGATTCTGGCCTATTTAGGCCACTTCTTCCCCACCCTTGTTTTTTATATCAAAGGGGAGATTCTGGCCTAGCTAGGCTACTTCTTCCCCACCCTTGTTTTATATCAAAGGGAGATTCTGGCCTACCTAGGCTACTTCTTCCCCACCCTTGTTTTATATCAAAGGGGAGATTCTGGCCTAGCTAGGCTACTTCTTCCCCACCCTTGTTTTATATCTAAAGGGGAGATTCTGGCCTACCTAGGCTACTTCTTCCCCACCCTTGTTTTTATATCAAAAGGGGGAGATTCTGGCCTACCTAGGCTACTTCTTCCCCACCCTTGTTTTTATATCTAAAGGGGGAGATTCTGGCCTACCTAGGCTACTTCTTCCCCACCCTTGTTTTTATATCAAAAGGGGGAGATTCTGGCCTACCTAGGCTACTTCTTCCCCACCCTTGTTTTTATATCTAAAGGGGAGATTCTAGGCTTCTTCCCCACCCTTGTTTTATATCAAAAATTCTGGGAGGACTTCTCCCCCACCCTTGTTTTTATATCAAAAAGGGGAGATTCTGGCCAACCTAGGCTACTTCTTCCCTACCCCTTACTCTTATAAACCGACAGTAGGTTTGACTTAAATATTGGTACACATTTTTGGTAATTAGTCAATTTCTGCCTCTGAGTTGGGTGTAGTGATTTGAATGCATACATGTTTGAACGGCATATATCTCTAAATCCATCCTCCTCCTGCCGCCATTCCTATGAAGACACATTGCATTAGTTCATCATCTGTCCACCATAAGATGTAAACATTCAATCGCACATTTGATGGGTAAATAAGACGTAATATACACAGGTTGCTTGCTCTCTTATCATGCTGTTCATTATCTAATATTTGTTGTATTTATGTATAAATGTAATGGAATATAATTCACATAAGCTTGTTTACTAATCCATAATCACTTTGGGTGGATGAAATATGATTCAGATATCCATGGGTCAAGTATACCCCTTATTAAACCTTGTCTTTTGAATATAGAATAAGGCAATATACTGTAAACGTATTATATTTCGGGCAGGTTTTATTTTCGCGCTTTTTGCGCAAAACATTTTAGCGCAAAAATTTATACACCGCGAATAAACCTGTCATTCATTCAGTCTAGCCACGCTCGCCCCTGAGTTGTTACCATAACACATCAAATTTGAAGACAGAAATCTACAGGAATCTTAAAATGCAATAAACGCCGCCTGACAAGTTAAGCCACTCTGTTTGTTTTCACTGCTATTAGTGGCGGCCAAAGAGACAGCTGGCAGTTCCGGCAATTACTGATTGCGCGAATAATTGACCGCGTGATGTAGTCTAAACTGTCAATTCCGCGAAAATTGCACCACGCGAAAATAAGTACGTTTACAGTAGTGGAATGATAGATGATACAGATATTGTGTTGGGGTGTTGTTGTTGTGTTGATGTTTACATCTGCTTCCAACTGTTAAGTTGATGTCGCCGACATGGATGCCATATTTAAAGTCATCAGTGAGGGAATAATATTTTGAATGGATATGGACATCCAAATAAAACTGGGTATTTAGTTACAGTTTCGAATATAGTAATGATTTTGACATAAGCCAATTTTTAGTAAGTGGGGATAAGTAAATTATTGAAATATAAAAATAAGTAAATGATGATATAAAACAATAGTAATGATATAATATCTTTGCTTTTATGCTTGCTTTTCTTTTTAATCTCACCTTATAGAAGGGTATTGAAACAAAATGGGAACCATGTACATGTTATATATGAAGATGAAGATGACCTGTAAATTGTTAATGGAACTTGACATCAATATGAATATCTTATCAATGTGTTCACGTGAATAGCTATATCTTGTTTTAGTATCTGACTTTTTCAAGACGAAAATAAACATGAAAACAAGGTTGGGGAAGAAATAGCCTAGCTAGGCCAGAATCTCCCCCTTTTGATATAAGAACAAGGATGGGAAACAAGCAGCCTTTAAAGTTGATTCAAGGGGGGGAAAGTTCTCAAAAATCCACTTTATACTGTGATATGTTGGTGATTAATATAACAATGACCTTCCCAGCAAATGTATGAATATAGAGTGAGTAAATGTTGCTTAACTCCGCACTGCGCAATATTCCAGCTATATGGCGGCGGTCTGTAAATAATCGAGTCTGGACCAGACAATGCAGTGATCAACAGCATGAACATCATTCTACGTAATTGGGATACAATGACATATGTCAGCGAGCCTGACTACCTGATCCCATTAGTCGCCTCTTACGACAAGCACTGGTTACTGAAGACCAGTTCTAATCCAGATCTTCATGGGTCATATGAATAAAGAAGTAGTGAGCAACTACTGTACCAGCATTGAAGCAGAGTCAACAACCTGTGTGAAATCATGGGAAATATGGTTTGTTGAAAGATTTGATAATTAACTGACTTGTATCTTACTAATATGATACTATAAAGAGCATGTAAACATTTGTAAGCATTCATTTTTTTCTACCAGTACAACAGAATGATAAGTGCCATTAATCATAGCTAACTCATCCACAGTTCATTCTAGATTAGTGGTTTATGCAAAATAACTACATGTATATTTGGGGAAAATAAAGTCAATGGCAAGATTTGAAATTATGTGGGGTGCCTGTTGTTCTTGAGGTTAGACCTATTTCTTTGTTTGTATTTCAATTTGGCGCAATGTTGTGGCGAAACCTAAATCTGCACAGTCATCACAAGCACTCCTAAATGCAGATACCTGTTTCAAGGGTTTGACAAAGTGGTTAATAGATGAGGGTCTTCACAGGGGGAAATGCATGGCAGTAAAATCTGGACCCTTTCCTGGGTAGTGAGTATTTTGGGGTTAGTTAAAAAGACCCTTGATCAGAAGAGAAACTGGCAAGATGTATCTAAAATGAAAAATAAACTCAATGTCAGTCACCAGGAATACATGGTTGGTTTGTTCCACCAATATTCCAGCTATATGGCAGTGGTCTGTAAATAATTGAGTCTGGACCAGACAATCCAGTGATCAACATTATGATCACCGATCTACACAATTGGGATACGATGACATGTGTCAACCAAGTCAGCGAGCCTGACCTCCTGATCCTGTAAGTTGACTCTTACAAGAAGCATGGATTACTGGAGATCAATCGAACTGGATCTTCATGGGTTCCATTTTTTACACATGTACTAGGGGGGGTCAGAAAATTTGCATATAAAAATATCAAAATACTGAGCTTAAAATTATGGGAGGGTGTAATTGATTTTGTACATGACATGAAGAAAGAGGGGATGAATGAATACATGAATGAATGATAATTGATTTGTATAGCGCCTGGTTTCCAGATTGGACATGACTGCTCAACGGCGCTTGTTGAAGTGAGCGGAAAAAAGATGTCTTCAGATGAGTTAGAAAAGAGTCTTTTGTTTGACAGTTTCTGATTTCCAGTCTTAGAACATTCCACAGTTTTGGAGCTGCAAAGCATAGACCCACTTCACCCATCTTTGTTTTAGTTTTAGGATCTTGAAGTAGTTTATCATCGGCTGATCTTAAAGTTCTTGTGGGTTGGTAGTGAAGTAACATGTCATTAATATAGGTTGGGGAGTTTTCATCATTCAGTGCTGAATATGTGATAGAAAGAGTCTTGAAAGTGATGCAGTGCTCTACGGGTAGCCAGTGGAGTGATTTCAGGACGGGGGTGATATGGTCAGTTCTCTTGGTACCAGTCAGCATCCTCGCAGCACTGTTCTGCACTTGTTGCAGTAGTTTGATGTTAGTGGCAGTAGTCCCATTGAGGGGGGCATTTCCATAGTCAAGACGTGATGTGACACAGGCTTGGATAACTGTCCTCAGACTGTCATTGTCAAGGTATTTCTTGATCTTGCTGATCTTAAATAGCTGGAAGAAGGCAGATCTGCATGTTGACTTGACATGGGTTTTCATCGTCATGTTTGTCGAACTTGACTCCCAGATTTCGCACGTCATTGCTTGGCTTGATATGACTGCCACTAATCTCAAGAGTTACATCTGGGATTTTGGGCTGTAATTTTCCAGAGCTAATAGTCATGAATTCTGTTTTGCAACTGTTGAATTTGAGTGCATTTGCTGTCATCCACTGTTGAATATCACTGATACAATGTTCAAGCTGTAACTTGGAAGCAACTACTTGGGTAGGTTTTGGGATCACTTAGTGTGATCATAAATTTTTAAGGTGTGTGTCGTTTGTGTGTGTGTGTGTGTGTGTGTGTGTGTGTGTGTGTGTGTGTGTGTGTGTGTGTGTGTGTGTGTGTGTGTGTGTGTGTGTGTGTGTGTGTGTGTGTATGTGTGTCATTCATACTGTACATGCTCCTACATCCCAACTGCTTTCTCCCATATACCACGAACTTAATGTGATGTCTATAAGAATTAGGAACTGTGCAAATGTATTGTTATTTCTGTTGTCCTTCCATGTGAACAATGTATAATATATCCTCGTGTCATGTAAGTTCGATCACTTAAGAACTGTCGCTGAATTTTCAAAGTTATATTCATATAATCTTATTTTCAAATCTCTTACCTCTAAACTTGTTTATTTATGTCAAACATTTCCAAAATCCAGGTATTTTTACTGCTTTTCACAATCGCGGCATGGCCGCCCTCTCACTGTCAACACAAGTGACCCAGAAAGCTATGTCACATAAGTTCGATCATATGATTGGCCGGCTTGTCGCGTAAACAGGATGACTTGTAAGGACGATCTCTTGTGTCAAATTCAGAGCTAGAGCAGTCCCAAGTAATTTTATGGTATTTATGTCCATGAAACGTTCATTTTATGTTTCAATACTTCTAAAAACGATGAAAAGTCACAAATATTCAGCTTATATTCAAGTATTATGCAGGGAATTATTCTTCAGGCTCATCGTGACGGGCATCAAACCTCAGAATGTAGACAAACACCACGAACTGGCTAGCAGAAACGTAAATGTGTTCTGTGCTGACATGTAGGGTGGGTACATTGTGCCAAGGTTGTATTTATCAATGAGGCAATAGCTCGAACTTCATCAGGTACAAATTCACGGAAATTCTCAAAAAGCATTAAGTTTTCTATAAGAAATGACCCTTACTTGTTTCCAAAGTTTTAAATTTTGACAAGGATATCACGTGTCTGGACATGTCACAATTAGACCAGCAACGTAAACAAACAGAAGACAGGGGTGCTGTCAATTTACAACGTGTGACATTTATACTGTTTACATTTTATTGGAGCTGATAAAGTTACATTATTGATCTAGGGTTAAAAAGTAGTTGTTTGCTGAAAATGAGCTATAACTTACATTTGGTAACATGACACGAAACATTTTCCGGTCCAAACGAATGAAAGTGGTGTCACCAGAAGATCAAAGCTGCAGATATCGTAAGTTATCGCTCCGTATTGCGACAATTACCATTCAAAATGGGCGATCGAAGTTACATGACGATCAAACTTATGTGACTTGACGATATTACTAATCAAGCTGATATAACATCGTTTGTTGCCATTTTTATGTGGCAAATCGGACTACATTTTTTAGGCAATTTAGATGTTTTTGTGGCTGATAGATATTTTTTTTCTGAAGCAGTATTGACTTTGTTAGTTGACCTGCTACCACTACCCACTCAGGACCCTCAGAACGATGTGGTTCAATGTCGAACATGAGTTTGGCTTTGACAAGGACGTAAAAAGGTTAGGCCTCTGAGCATTAATACAAATCAAAACTTACTAACACAGTTGTAGGAAGAGGTAAGAGAAGAGTCTAACTACAAGTGTCTAACTACAAGTGTCTATTAAGTAAAGTTAAACAAAAGTCACACAAAAGTCGCAACTCGTATCAAAAAATCAAAACCGCTGTTTGCATAATGCTTAATTTCGCATGGTCCCTAAATATCTGGCTGTACCACAGTTTAAGTGAGAGATATGTCTCAGTAATTATTATCAAAAGTAAAACAGACATACTTGTATTTTCCGGTTCAGGGATGACCCAGCCTATCTCATTCAATCACCCTGACAAAACTATCTAGAAATTTCGGAATTTCTCATGGCAGCTGTACATTGGTTCTTTCGTCACTGACCGAGTTATTACATTTCTGAGTATATTCCTTGTGGGCTTATCACATCACGTTACCTGTTGGAATACCGAGCTCCTTGCTGCCACGACCAAATCCTTTGACCACTTCACCTTCTGCGTAGTGAGGGAGATATTTCTCAGCCATCCTTACACAACTAAATATTCCTCGCGTTTGCAGACGACGCTAGGGGGCGCTGTGACAAGGGAGAGCACTTTGTTTGTGTCCTGCTCAATGGAAAGCTCCGAACACAGTTGGCTTCTCATTTGCTTTACTAGTAACAACTAACTGTTTAGGGTACGCGCTGTGTGAAGCTTTGTACGTTTGCACGTACCAGGAATTTCTGTTCCTGTTCCGAGTAAAAACCGGAACCAGGATGTGAGGAAGGGTCCTTGTGTGTCCCACAAACCTTGAAGTTGAACTATTCCGCCCAATGAAAGAAGCAATTCTAGATTTCTCATTGTCTCGTTCTGAATCACCCAACTCCTTCTCGCTCCTAGTTCCATGGAGTTATTTAATTCGTAAAAAAATACATACAATGTGTGTGTGTGTGTGCGTGAGAGAGAGAGAGAGAGTGTGTGTGTGTGTGTGTGTGTGTGTGTACGTGTGTGTGTGTGTTTTCCGTGATCGATACTCATAATGATGATTACTGGATGATTATTTACAGACCACCGTCATGAGTGATCGAGTGCGTACGTGCGTGTGTAACTTACACACGCACGTACGCACTCGATCACTCATGACGGTGGTCTGTGAATAATAGACTATATATCAAGTGTTCCTGGATTTCATCACAGTGGTAAACATTTTAGAGCGACTACCTCACACGTTAGGCTCTCACGTCGTTACATATAGATATCTACCTACAGAGTCGTGCAAAAAGTATTCGGCACCTTGACGTAATTTCCATAGACTTACATGTTAATTTGGTGTAGCATAAATAATTTTCATGAATTAAATTTTCGTAAAATCCAAGTCAAATTTTGTACTTTGGGGGAATCATCTTTCCTACAATCACACAATTTCTGTTTAATTTTCCGTTGCTTCTTTATCGAATGACAACAATTTAACCAACGTATGTACAGTGCCGTGAACTCCTTTAACATGGCGGCCTATGGGATTGTGCATTGTGGAACAATGCGTAAGTTGATAAAAGTGATGTCATTAGTTAAATAGTGGTCGGAAAATTGAACTGAAATTATTTGCGCAGAGCAGAGATGATTTCAAATTTGCCTGTCAAATTTTACAAAGATCCATCCTAAACTCACTTCATTAAAATTATTTATGCTACACTGAAATAGCATGTAAGTCTATGGAAATTACGACAAGTGCCGAATACATTTTGGACTGACTGACTGAGTTTAGTTTTACGCCGCTTTTAGCAATATTCCAGCAATATCACGGCCGGGAACACCAGAAATGGGCTTCACAGATTGTACCCATATTGGGAATCGAACCCGGGTCCTTCGCGTGACGAGTAAACGCTTGTACCACTACGCTACCCCACAGCCCTTGATGATATACAATCACCGTTTTACTTGAGCGCAAATTTCATAACTTTCGATCTTCAAATACATAATGTCAACACATTGTATTTATATAACTGTTATTCATGAATTCATGATTCTCGCATCACGTTCACTCAAAATATGTTTAGAAAAGTAGTCGATATTTTATCAGCTTATATTTAGGCACTGATTTGGAGTTAATGGAGTAAAACAATATTTATTCATTCATAATTCATTGATACCCTGGTCGTGAAGTCAATTCTTGGTGTCCCCCGCCGTAATACTGCTGGAATATCGCTCCAAGCGACGTAAACACTCACTCACTCGGAGAAAGACTGTTGAGTCGGTGCAGCTAACATTCGTTTTATTGCAGTAAATACTGAGCTGTAATGATGTTATGCAAACATTTTTTAGGTTTCAAAAATATGCCATGTGGAGTTGTTGCTACTATTTCCAAAACGAGGATATGTTTTTTTGTAACTATACGTCACGCTGAAATGCATATCATGCAACAGGACAATTCCAGAAACTGACGAAAATGATCAACATTCAGCTGCCAGCGTTCCTCGCACTCCTCAATGAAGAACGGACTAATATTACCAGTATTCCCATTTTGGCTAGGGTACATTTCTATTCAGGTACATACCTGTCGTACCCGTCCCGACAACAACCAGTTCGTTAGCCTGGTTCCACAGTTGCTTAACAGACAGACAGCAATCAGTCGTGGTCAACGGTTATTCGTCTATCAGCCAACCTGTCCGTTCGGGAGTTCCCCAGGGATCTGTCTTGGGGCCGCTACTGTTCCTCATCTATAAAAATGACTTAACCAAGGTTTATCAAGTAATATAAGGCTTTTCACCGACGACACATCGCTGTATGTTGTAATAGAAGACGTTACACAAGCACACCGGTTATTGAACGAGGACTTAAGTGAAATTTCCAATTGGGCTGAGACTTGGCAAGTAACTTTCAGTCCCGAAAAAACCGAAGCCATGCTTTTTACAACTAAAACAAAACCAAGTCAGAAGTTTGATCTATTTTTTAATAACACTAAAGTAAAAGAAGTGACAACGCATAAGCACTTGGGCATCGTATTCCAAGAAAACGGTAAATGTCACAGCCATATTGACTCTGTTGTTAACAAAATAAGTCCATTAATAAACTGCCTACGTAGCTTTAAATACCGTCTTAGTAGGAAAAGTCTCGAAATTCTGTATGAATCGTTCATTCTACCTATATTTGATTACTGTGACCACATTTGGCATAATTGCACTAAAGACCAAGAATTAAGATTCGAAAAATTACATATGGATGCAATTAGAACTATAACCGGTGCAGTTCGTCGAACTAATCATGAAAACTTACTGAGAGAAGTAGGATTAAGTTCCCTTGCTGAACGCCGATACTGTCACCGGTTGAGTTTATTTTATAAAATGAAAAACGGTATGACACCCTCATCACACTATCTATCACTGTTAGTCCCCCTTCTGTTGCAGAAAGGACTGACTATAATTTACGTGATTCGGCCAACCTCAGAGCAGAAGGCTCAAGGTCAGTCAGTCACGGCCGGACATTTATTCCTTCTGTTGTTCAAGACTGGAATAACTTCAGTCACACAATTAAAAATGCACAAACTGTGAAACACTTTAACCTTCTTATCAATCAGGATAGACCTCTTACACAAGACTTTAAACGGTATGTAAACTATGGTTCACTGCACTTACAAATAATTATGTGTAGATTAAGATTAGAATGCAGTAACCCAAAGGCAGATATGCACAGAAGATTCTTAGTTGAAAATCCTTCATGCCAATGTGGCCATCCAACAGAAGATGTCTATCATTACTTATTCGTCTGTCCAGTATACCAACACATACGCAAAGATAAATATTTCTTCACACATAACATAAGTATCATAGATATCCTACATGGGAGAGGTGTACCTGAACAAGACGCTCTAAAAAATATTGACTCTGTTATTCAATATATTACAGCAACTGAGCGATTTCCTGAATGACAAGAACCATTTTATTCTGGTCGACACGTTTCTTTCCAAGTTTTATTCTTTCTTTCTATTGTTGCGATGATTAATCTTTAATCTTTAAAACTGAATAAGAAGACACTTTTCCTTGTCCGCCACCTAAGTTATTATTGTACCAAAATAAGTGCACGTAAAAATTTGTAATATTTCACTTGATTCCGCACATCTAACATCTACTATCTTCTCGCATTTAAAATTGATCTTCCATGCTCTAGAATTTATGTTTTATGTATGTCGTGTATAATTGTCTTAATATGTTGTAATATGTAGTGTACCCTCATTGTATATTCTGCACCATGTGGAAAGGCATTGATATAAGCCACAGGCTTGTTTGCCAATCCACTCTATTTAGGAGATAAATTCATTAATATATAATGTGCACATGCTCTATTGAATAATAAATATCGTTTAAAACAACAACCTTACAACGATACTAGGGTCCAAACTTGGTTAGTGTGTGACTAGAAATAATGAGATCACTCTTTGTGAGATCTGGCGGAAAAGTTCGACTGTGTTCAATCACAAATAACATCCCCCAATTTGAAGTTCAATCAGATTCAACGCTGCAACTTGATTATGTATGAAACCTGTGAAGATCCAGCTTCGAATTGGTCTTCATCAACCCATGCCTGTCCTAATAGGTGACAAACGGGGGTCTGAGGGTTTGAGACATCGAGTTTAGACCCACAGTGAGGGATTTTATGAACGCTTCACTCAACATAAGCCAACGCTGTTTGCACTTAAATGTTGACAGACTGCCTTCACGCATTGGAAACTGACGTCTGTCAAATTTGCCTTCTTTGATGAAAATCAGAAATATTGGCAGCTGCAAAGAAAAATTTAAATGGACATAAATGGGATTTCTGGGAGCGAGTTCGAAAATTAGATCGAAATTTATTCCCTCTATGATGGCAGGGGTGGCAAAGATCCATCACATATATAACCCATGACAAGTGTGTTATCGATAGCATATGATGGCTGATTAGGGCCATCGCTTTCTCGTCTTAAAATTCGAAAGCGATGGCCCTAATCAGCCACCATAATAGCACGATGTTTGTATTGGGCCATGAAACCAAGCCGCGAGACGAACGAGTCACCAGCCGCCCCAACTGTGTCATCTGGACATGGGGGTGAGGGGTTGTTCAGGGGTGCAGCGTCGCTAACCAGGGGAATACCAGATTATGAAGAAAATAGTTTCCAGAACACCCCTCCTTTTGTGCTGAAAGTTTGTTAAATGACCACTGAAACTCGGGTGAAAAAGAAGTGTGCACCCCTCCTTTTCTCAATAGTGTGCACCCCACACACCCACACACCCCCTTTCTCAAAAAGCTGTATCCGCCCCTGGTTGTCAGGCAGACCTGGCGTAAACATGGTCTCAGTGCCAGATGTCAGTATAACTGATATTGGGAGTGACAAGACTGGCTCGCTGTTCAAGGTGTTATTACCACTATATACTCCCGGATTGCCAAACGCTCAGTATTCAGGGTTTTACTGCACTTTCATAAGAAATACAACTTCTGTTTAATGGAGACAATGTGTGTAAGTGCATGTAATGTTTTACAAAACGTGCTTAAACACTTCGGTATCTTTAGTTACCATCCAAAAGGTTACAAAAGTGTGGAAGATTTGCAGGAGGA